CTTTAACGATATTCATTGATTTCAAATGAAGGACTAGCTGATCCGCTGGTTTATCTAAAATCTCTGGTCGTGAAAACTTCTCGAAATCTTCGAACACAGCCGAAGAGTACAATCTGAGAAAGAGCTTGATTTCCGGTGAACAACAAATATGATTTAAGAAGCACTGTAATCTCGCAGAAGGTTCCCGACTGAAGCATTTTCGCCAAAGTGGTTAATGCTCTCACCTGTACGCATGTCCTGGTGCGATACGTCCAGCTCGTCCTGCTCGTTGATCAGCAGATGCCTGACTTACATGCGCTACAACGAACTGAGAGACTCCTGTGATCGGATCATAAAGTCTGAACAACAATCATTGACCAAAATTCTCCTAAAGACTACAAAACCACATACCTTCGCTTCTCGTATCCAGTGTCTACAACATACTTAACTCCGGGAATTGTCAACGATGTTTCTGCTACATTGGTCGCTATCACGCACATTCTGAACATCAGAAAATGTCGGTGTCACAAGATTCTGTTTAATTGCATAGAACAAAATCCAGCAACTGCAAATTACTGACAGATTGCAACAGATTGTCTAGCACCTTCTGTGTCAATTTGTTCTATGATTTTCGACATACCTCGCTCCTTCAGGAGGCGGTTCAAACACTCGACGTTGCTTTTCTGACGATAGCAAGGAGTACAACGGGAGACAATAAAGAGGCGCACAGTCTTTCGGTGGTGCTGACATAGGTGTGTTCTAAACAAGCTAATTTTATGTGTGGAAAAAAGTGGTGAAAATCACTTCTCTAAGGCATAAGTAGATAACATGACTGATTACGTTGATACGACAAATCATCAATGTTGTGCTTATCTTGAAGATGTTGATTCCACTCACCAAGCGGGCATCCTCGTCGTCTTCTCCTTCCTCGTAATTATCCCACATTGTATCTCCAACACCTGTTTCCAGAAGATCTTCACCATCAAATTTTTCAACTCGCTAAAACTGACAAACATAAATTCTCCACAAATCTCAAATACAGCCATCAGAAAATAATCTGCGACTTTGAAAGGTGGATTAATAGACACAAACACGTACATTTTCCTTGAAATCCTCCAGCTTCAAAGTTTGCACATCTTCCAACTTTTTTTTCTTCCACTTCTTACCTCCTTTGATCAGAAGCTCGCCGCTCTTGC